CCGCTCCGCGCGCGGGGGGCGGGGGGGGGTCCAGCGCAAGTCCAAGAAATCCGCGCGGAGTACCAAAAGACTTTTGGCACCCCCCGCGGGTTTCAATTTTGCGTTTACACTTTGCGTTCACGTTTCTGCGCTTTGTTTTTCCATTATGTTTTGCAAAAAGGATCAGCCGCAAACCCGCCCAATCACTGGCCGCGCAAATTTCGGGCGCCTCGAACGAGAGCCCCATGCCGAGAAGGGGCCGCTTTCCATCCATATCACCGCTGCGCAGTTTGGGGCCCCAGATCATTTATTTCCTGGCGGGGCCGGGTGGGATCCCGCGCCCGCCGGCGACTGACTGACTGACTGATTGACTGACTGATGGACTGACTGAACGCCAGGAGGGCACCTTTAACAACGCGTGTCATGTCAAACCGCTCGCGGGCGCGCAACCGCAACTGGGCGACGCATTTCGACCCGTCCGCGGGAGCGCAACCGCAACCGCAACTGGGCGACACATTTCAACCCGCCCGCGGGCGCGCAACCTCGACCGCACCTGGGCGACGCATTTCAAACCGCCCGCGGGCGCGCAACCGCAACTGGGCGACGCGTTTCAAACCGCCCGCGGGCGCGCAACCGCAACCGCATCTGGGCGACGCAAGTCGACCCGCCCGCGGACGCGCGACCGCAACCGCAACTGGGCGACACATGTCGGCCCGCCCGCGGGCGCGCAACCGCAACCGCACCTGGGCGACGCATTTCAACCCGCCCGCGGGCGCGCAATCGCAACTGGGCGACGCATTTCAACCCGCCCGCGGGCACGCAACCGCGACCGCACCTGGGCGACGCATTTCAACCCGTTCGCGGGCGCGCAACAGGAACCGCACCTGGGCGACACATTTCGACCCGCCCGCGGCCCCGCAACCGCAACCGCACCTGGGCGACACATTTCAATTCCCCCGCGGGCGCGCAAACCCAACTTGGCGACACATTCCAAACCGCTCGCGGGCGCGCAGCCGCAATCGCAACTACGCGGCACATTTCGCCCCGCCCTCGGGCACGCAACAGCAGCCGCAACTGGGCGACACATGCCAACCCGCCCGCGGGCGCGCTACCGCAACCGAACCTGGGCGACACATTTCAACCCGCCCGCGGGCGCGCAACCGCAACCGAACCTGGGCGACAAATTTCAACCCGCCCGCGGGCGCGCACTTGCAACCGCAACAGGGCGACACATTTCAACCCGCCCGCGGGCGCGCAACCGCGACCGCACCTGGGCGACGCATTTCAATCCGCCCGCCGGCGCGCAACCGCACCGACACATTTCAACCCGCCCGCGGGCGCGCAACCGCGACCGCACCTGGGCGACGCATTTCAATCCGCCCGCCGGCGCGCAACCGCACCTGGGCGACGCATTTCAAACCGCCCGCGGGCGCGCAACCGCAACCGCAATTGGGCGACAAATTTCAACCCGCCCGCGGGCGCGCAACCGCAACCGCATCTTGGCGACACATATCAAACCGCCCGCGGGCGGACACTGCAACCGCTACTGGGCGACGCATTTCAACCCGCACCCGGGCGCGCAACCGCAAGCGCGCCTGGGCGACGCATTTCAACCCGCCCGCGGGCGCGCAACCGCACCTGGGCGACGAATTTCAACCCGCCCGCGGGCGGGCAACCGCATGCGCTATTGGGCGACACATTTCTACCCGCCCCCGGGCGCGCAACCGCAAGTGGGCGACGCGTATCAAACCGCCCGCGGGCGCGCAACCGCAACCGCAACTGGGCGACGCATCTCGCCCCCCCCCCCCCCCCGCAGGCGCGCAACGGCAACCGCAACTTGGCGACGCAGTTAAACCCGCCCGCGGGCGCGCAACTGCAGCCGCTACTGGGCGACAAATTTCAACCCGCCCGCGGGTGCGCAACCGCTACTGGGCGACAAATTTCAAACCGCCCGCGGACGCTCAACCGCAACCGAACCTGGGCGACACATTTCAACCCGCCCGCGGGCGCGCAACCGCAACCGCAACTGGGCGGCGCATTTCGACCCGCCCGCGGGCCGTGCGACCGCACCTGGGCGACGCATTTCAATTCCCCCGCGGGCGCGCAACCGCAACCGCAACTGGGGGGCACATTTCAACCCGCCCGCGGGCCGCGCGACCGCACCTGGGCGACGCATTTCAACCCGCCCGCGGGCGCGCAACCGCAACCGCATTTGGGCGACACATTTCAACCCGCCCGCGGGCGCGCAACCCGCAGCCGCACCTGGGCGACACATTTCAACCCGCCCGCGGGCGCGCAACCGCACCTGGGCGACACATATCAAACCGCCCGCGGGCGCGCAACCGCAGCCGCAAGTGGGTGACGCATTTCAACCCGCCCGCCGGCGCGCAACCGCAACCGCAAGTGGGCGACGCATTTCAGTCCGCCCGCGGACGCGCAACCGCAACCGCAATTGGGCGACACATTTCAACCCGCCCGCGGGCCGCGCGACCGCACCTGGGCGACACATTTCAGTCCGCCCGCGGACGCGCAACCGCAACCGAACCTGGGCGACACATTTCAACCCGCCCGCGGGCGCGCAACCGCACCTGGGCGACACATTTCAACCCGCCCGCGGGCGCGCAACCGCAACCGCATCCATGCCCGCGAACCGCATGGGCGACACATTTCAACCCGCCCGCGGGCGCGCAACCGCACTTGGGCGACACATTTCAGTCCGCCCGCGGACGCGCAACCGCAACCGCAAGTGGGCGACGCAATTCAACCCGCCTGCGGGCGCGCAACAGCAACCGCAAGTGGGCGACGCATTTCAGTCCGCCCGCGGGCGCGCAACCGATACTGGGCGACACATTTCAACCCGCCCGCGGGCGCGCAACCGCAACCGAACCTGGGCGACACATTTCAACCCGCCCGCGGGCGCGCAACCGCGCCTGGGCGACACATTTCAGTCCGCCCGGGGACGCGCAACCGCAACCGAACCTGGGCGACGCATTTCAACCCGCCCGCCGGCGCGCAACCGCAACCGCATCTTGGCGACACATATCAAACCGCCCGCGGGCGCGCAACCGCACCTGGGCGACGCATTTCAACCCGCCCGCGGGCGCGCAACCGCAACCGCACCGCTCACCCGCTGTCCTCCAGGGGATCTGACGCGGAGAAAGGTGGGAGGGAGGTGGGAGGGAAGGGGGAGGGAGGAGGGAGGCGGGAGGGAGGAGGTAGTTGGGGGGGGAGAGGAGACGGAGGGATGGTAGAGAGCTCGCAATGACTGGGGGCGGACAACTTCTGCCCCCCCCCCCCCGTTCCACGGAAGTGGATCTCCACAAGGCTCCAGACCCTGGATTCCTTATCCAAGGCCTCCACGGTCTGCTAGCGGGATGGGTGGGTTAACCGCCCCCGAGGCGGGAGACGAGGCTTTGACAGAAGCGGTCCGTGGCACCGCCTGGTTTGCAGTTGGGGGGGCGATGCCGCGGGGATCGATTGCACATTCACCCGCGCGTAAGCTTCCCGCGGATGTTGGCGCATCGGCGCCGTCTTATTCACGCAGGCTGCCGCGTTTCATTCATGATCAGGTGGAGGAGGAAGGGGAGGAGGACGAGGAGGAGGTAATGGGGGGGGGGGGAGGAGGAGCGGCAGGACGAGGAGGATAAGGAGGAGGAGCAGCGGCAGGACGAGGAGGAGGACCAGGATGGCCAGGAGGAGGAGGAGGACGGTGGGGAGGGGGATGCCAGGGTGGTGTTGCTTGGGAAGGTGCACGAGCAGGTGCTTGTTGCGAAGGACGGAGGCTGATGAGGTTGTGGACGTCAAGGAGGATATGGGCGCGGAGGTGGATGTCCTCCTCGCGGCCTCCGAGCGTGACCCGCGGTTTTCCGCTGGGACAGTGCAGCGGGGAATCCCCATTCCACGCCGCTGCCTCTGATTTGAGGATGCTTCGAACAAGAGATCTGTAAGTGCTGGAGGAAGTGTGAACGAATGCGCGCGGCACTAAGGCGAGAGCCGCTTTTAGACTTCCCCATCCATCCGTATAAGTGAAGACGAATGCGCGCGTCGCTAAAGCGAGAGCCCAATTTTGGAATCGAGATTGCCTCCGCCTTTATATGATGGGTTCTTGTTTTATCGTTTCCCTCACTCCGCTGGCCCGCAGTGTGCCATCTCAGGCGTTTGCTTGCGCGTTAATGGCCCATTGGGGCCTTTGGGGGGCCGTGCGTGGGGGCCTCTTGGGGCTTTTTTGGGGGGCCTCTTGGGGGCCTCGTGGGGCCTTCAGGGGGCCTCCTGGGCTCTCTTGGGGGTTTTTGTGGGTTTCCCGGGGGCTTTTTGGGGCGGAAGGCTCGAGTTGGTGGTTCGCGTTCCCCCTCTTGGGCCCCTCTTGGGGCTGTCTTGGGCCGTCTTGGGCGCCTCTTGGGCCGTCGTGAGGCCTTATTGTGTTCTCTTCGGCCCATCTTGGGGGCGCGTTGCGTCGTCTGGGGACGATGTCGGAGGTCTCTGGGGCAGTTTTGGACGCTGTGAACCCCCAAGCGGCGCACATGCGAAACATGTATTTTTCCCGAAGAGAAAGGGACGATGTTTGCTTGTTGGGGCCCTCTTGGAGAGCCTCTTGAGCCTCACTTGGACCTTTTCGCGGCCTCTGGCACTATCTGGCGTCTTGGAACGATATTTGAATAAAAAAGAATGCGCGTCGGCACGGCGAGAACCGCATTTCGGAAACGAGCCTGCCTCCACTTGTACATGATGGACGCTTATTGAAGTTGCGCACGCGCCGTTACGGCGAGAACTGCATTTGGACAACGACCGCTCCAGCCTTGAAGTTGTTGGGTTCAGGATATCATATTGTTCGCACGTCCTGGCCTTAACCTACAGACGCGATTGGTGGTGCGACAGGGGAGAATTTCTTTCCTGGAGGAGGACGACGAGGATAATAAAAAGACTCGAGGAGGAAGAGGAGGGACAGGAGCGAGCGAGGCGGAGGAGCAGGGGTGACCGAGGCGAGGGAGAGGAGCAGAAAAGATAGCTGCCGGTCGGCGGAGGCTCTGGCGTATGGAGCTACATGTTCATCAATTCGGACCCTGCTCGGGGAGGGCGCGATCTGGCAGCGGCGATTCTGACACATCCAGATCCAGAGGATCGAGTATCGCAGCTGCTTGCTGTGTGTGGGTGTGCATCTCTCGGCCTCCTGGGCTGCCTTCGTGCCCACGGCTGGATCTACCCCGACATGCCGGCCAGAGCGCACCCTGAGAGGTCCCGGGGTGCCGATGTGTGAGCAGAGGCCTCCCGAATGAAGTCCGCGTAGATGGGGTCGAGGCATCGCGCCGCATCGCCAAATCATCGCCAATGCATCGCCGATGCATCGGCGATGCATCGGCGACGTCGGCGGTGCACCGGCGCCGTCGGCGCAGAGAAAACTTGTCTCGGCATCGAGTCGCAGCGGCGATGCATCCTGGATGCGGTGTGATCCTCCGACCTCATTTGCTCGGACCCCATTTCGGAGGCCTACAGTCGGCCCTAATTGGTAGGTCGACCATGTTGAATCCAGCGTACCCTTGTGTCCTGTCCATGCAAGCCTATGCAACCCGCATGCCTTTTTCGTGTTCTGGGGCCACTGTGCCGTCGGAAGGGTCCTGTGTCCTCTCGCGTGCCCTGTACAATCAAGTCCGACTGCCATCTTGGTGTCCATTCATCGGCGGCGAGCGAGGGGGGAAGTGAGAAGGCGAAGGCCTTCTCAAAACGCGGCGGGGCTCCTCAGAAGCCGTCGCGTCTTCTGAGAGGTTTTCTGCGTCTTCGGGGAAGGCTGAGAGAACCATGCGATCGGGGAGGTTGATCTGTTGCTGCTCTGGTTGGAAGATTGGCAGTCCGGTCAATACTTGATCAATGCTTTGATTATAGTGGGTTCCCCTTTCAGAGGAGGAGGGGGTGTTTGGAGGTATCCAAAGGCCTCCGGAGATCTCCAGAGATAGGTCTGGAGGCCCCCTGGATGCCTCCAGCGGTGCAAAACAAGCGCCAACGGCATTTAACCACTCGAAGCAGTGGAGGAGTGTTGCTGATGCTAGCCCCAAGGGTCAGGCGGTATCAACAATGCTGTAAGATTATCCCCTCCCGTATGAACTCCCCCCACCCGTACCTACAATTAACACGGGCGTGTCCCCCTACAGCGGGATTTTCGACGAAAAATAAAAAGTAATCCAAACATAATCCAAAAAATCCTCGGGGGACTATTTTTTGAGTATTTTGTCTTTTTGGCATAGTTAGGGGTATTTTTCATTTTTCGTCGAACATCCCTCTGTAGGGGGACACGCCCGACATAACCCTACAAATAACCCTACAAGCACAATGTTTCACTGCGCGAAGCCCCCCCCCTTGGACAACGAGCGCCCTGTAAGGTCGCAGTTCAGGCGGGAGCCCCGCTCCGCTCTCTGGAGGAGCATGCCCTCCGCACTGCGAGCCTGTGCGCGGAGTGCAGCGCAGGGCGGGGCCGTGCGCAGCGGAAGGAGCCGTGCCCCGCGACGGACCCGCTCTGAAGAAGCCCAGGGAGGCACGTGCGAACCCTACCCCTAGGAGAAGGAGGAGGAGGAGGAGGAGGATGAGGAGGATCGATGAAGAGGCGGAGGAGGAGGAGGAGGAGGAGGAGGCTACCCCCCACGATGTCTGAGGGGGAGGGTGGGGTTCACTGTGAACCCCACCCTCCTCAGAAATCGTGGGGGGTAGGGGGGTAGGGTTCGCATGTGGCCCTCTAGAAGCACCCTCCATCCTCGTGCTTGTTGTACGGCTTCAGACGTCTGGTCATCGACCTGACGAAGTCTCGAGCCAGAGCCCCATTGTAGGAAGGGAGCCGACCTCCATCCGTGCAACTGCTGAATCTGGTATGGTACTCGTAGCAATGGTCGTGAGGGGGGAATTCTCCGGCGGGAGCCGCATTCTGAAAATGATCCACCTTCCATCCGTGTCGTGTGTATGGTGATTGTTTTCGTATTCATTGTTTTGCCGATCGGCGCGGGCCCTCGCATCCCCCCGCCCCCCCCCATGGAGTAGATTTTTGCTGTTTCTGGCGCCTGTTTCGAGCAGGCGGAGTCTTCCCCATAGGACGCACTGCTGCACACAGACTTACTGAGCAAAGGTCCGGAGCCAGACCCCCCCTTCCCCCCCTCCGCCTAGTGTCGAAGCGCCGAATGAGAAAACGTTCACATGGCTGTACTCGTAGTAGTGGCCGTGGGGTGGGGTGGGGGGGGAATTCTCCGGCGGGAGCCGCATCATTTTGAAGAGGATCCGCCCTCCTTCCGTGTGTGTGTGTGTGTTGGCCTCTCCTCTGGCGGGTGGTCGCAGTGCCACGGGGAGAGTCTCAGTCACTCCAACGGAGTCGCCCTCCATCTCTGCAGTGACAGCATCGGTTGTAGCCATCGGTCGTTGAAAGTAAGTATTTCTGGAATCTCAGATTCCAATCTACTTTGCCCACCTTCACACTTCAAGAGTCGAGTGTTTTTTTGTTTTCCCTCTTCCCTCCTCTACAGGAGGCGGGCGGACACCTAATCTGCTTCCAACGCCTTCCTGCTTCATGCTCCTACCTATGTCTTCCGACCGATGGGTAGACGAGTGCGCGCGGCGACGAGGCGAGAGCCCAGTTCTTGACGTTTCGCGAGTCCCCACCAGTCCATCCAAAGCCGACGCCCAGGCGAGTCGAGACGCTTATGGAAGCGTAGGGGCAAAATGGGGGACAGTCGTTATCGTTCGAGGGAGGAGGAGGAGGAGCAGGAGGAGGAGGAGGGATATGATGGGGGAGGAAGAAGGATGATCAGTGTGCGGATGAGGAGGAGCAGGAGCAGGAGGAACATGTCTGTCTTCTTTCCCTTGCTTCTCTTCCTTCGTGTTCCTTGGAGCGTTCGGGGACTCACGAGTGCCCGTGCGCCGGGAGGAGGAGCGGGGCGAGCAGCAGGGCCAGAAGCCTCTGGAATGCCCCTCGGAGTTTCTCTCCTCGGACGTCGCCCCCGAGAGCTCCCAGGGGAGGCCTCCTGGGGCGTTTTGGGGGGGGGGGACCTCGGCGAGCCCAGGCCCGCCTCGGAGCGCCTCGGGGAGCCTCCTCCTCCTCCCCCCTCCTCCTCCTCCTCCTCTTCCTCCTCCTCCTCCTCCTCCTCCTCCTCCTCCTCCCTCCTTCCTCCTCCTCCTCCTCCTCCTCCTCCTCCTCCTCCTCCTCCTCCTCCTCCTCCTCCTCCTCCTCCTCCTCCTCCTCCTCCTCCTCCTCCTGGTAGCACTGGTAGCACTGTAAAGCGTTTCCGTGCGAGCACAGAATACACGCGCCTAGTAAAAGATGCGGCCCAGCCCCGAAAAATGGGACCCCCTGAACATAGCACCGCCCACCTTGCGCCCGTAAGCTCCTCACTATCAAGGGGGGCTGGGCACGACATCAACCTCGCCTTCCAGGCGAGGGCCCTCCAACGGGGTTCAAAACCGACGGGCTGGCATAACCCAGAATTGCCGGATGAGCCCACCACGGGGATTTAAAATCCCCCGCCTTTAACCCTCAGTCCGCCCATCGTGCGCTCTATCCCCCATGTGGGGGGGGCTTGGCGTAACGGTATGGCCGTCCAGACCGTTACGAGTCCCGTCGCAGTCACCCCAGGTGAGTGATTCTGGAGAAGGTGAGGGCGGTCCCTGGCACACATCCTCGCTGCAGCTTCCGAAGCTCACTGCTGACGCGGGGGGGGGCACTCGCCCCTGCCAGGGAGCCACCTCTTGTTTGCTGCCTCACTCGGTCCTGTTCCGTGAGGCAGAGCTGCAGGAGTTTTGTGCCCCTCCCCATGCTATACCCCCCACAAAGGTTACAAAAAACAATTGGCATGTTACTCCCATCAATCCACCCCATGCTTAGGGAATGGTGAAGGGCTCGGCGCTTGTTAATTGCCTCTGTGAGGGAAGGGGGGTACTCTTGTGAGCAAGCCCTCCTGCATTGAGGAGTGACCTTTTTCAAACATGTGGTACATCGATAACCCTTGCCAGTCCAAGTGGGCGAGTGGGAAGAAACAAACGGGCGGGGTGGAGGGGATCGAGGAACCTTGGACAAGGGACCAAAATACTCACGCGAGGGGGGCCAGCTGGCCAGAACCCTCCCTGCACCTGTCACGAGCTCGACATATTCTTCCAGGGCCAACGTGCAGTCCGCAAGGGAACCGGGATTCATGTCGTGCTTCCCGGCGGCCTCCTTTGCTGAAGTGTCCGCCATCCGATTTCCTAGGATTCGATATCGGTCAGAATCGCTAACCGCATCTTCAACGTTGCGGTGGGCTTTGACATGTGAGAGCAACAGCCATGGCCCTGGCGTGGCATGAGCCAGAACCCTCCAATAATGACTAAAGAGGGTGGTGCCCTTGAGGCTGAGAGCCGGCTGAGAAACTCCGCGGAAAAGAGCCTTGCAGTCCACCGCAAACTCTGGGGACTGCTCCAGATCAGAATGGAGCCCCGCCGCTACGAGTCCAGAGTGCTCACAATGGACAGCATGCTGAGGTAGCACTCAGGGCTGCGGGGACGACACGGCGCGGAGAAGGTTGCCATCATCATCTATCTGGCACGCTGCCAGGCCCCCGCGCTCCAGCATATCAAGCCCGGGGTTCAGGCACGAGCCATCTACAAAAGTGGCCCTTCCAGGGTCAAACTGAAATTTATCACAGGGCCCCTCCCCATCTCTATAAACGAATTCCCAATCAACCACCGGTGGGTCGATATCGGGGGCTGCCAACCACAGATGCGCGAAAAGTGGGTGGCTGGGACCTGCTGCAACTGCTCGCTCGACAAATTTCCCCAGCTCCTGGTCTCGAAGGGGGGCGCAACGAGGGCACTCCCACAGACGATGAAAAGGAGTGTCCAAAGATCCATTGTTGCAGTAGGGGCAACGAGTGGGAATGTCATACCCCCACTTAGCCAACGAGGTGGCTGTGACTAAACAGTCCCCTAAAAGACCATGCACACAGGCCATCTCTCGAGTGCTTAGCTGCTTACCTACCTGCTTTAACACTCGACAAATCTGGGTCCTCCACAAACCCCGAGTGAGCAGTTCCTGCCCATAGGGGTGGGTGTCAGCACCAAGCTTAGATGCTATTGTGGCTAGCACGCTGCGCGACCTAAGGCTGTCATTAAAGAGGGAGGTGAGCCAGTGGTGGGGAAACTGCATGAGGGAGTAGACCTGCCCATCAGGGCTCACTAAATGGGTAGCATCACGAAACGCCCATCCAGCCAGCTCCACCCACTGCAGCATCTCGGTGAGGGGCCCCCGGGATTTTCCCAGCCAAGATTTCTTGGTGGTGCTCCTGAGGTGCTCGCGCGCGTTCACGAAGGCATTCTGCAGTTCCTTGGCAGACAAGATGTCGGCATGCCTATGCTGAAGGGGCGACGTGCCCGACAACATCCACCATTCGTGGCAATACCGACTCAAAGTACTAGCCCCCAGATCCATGGGGTCTGAATCTGGCGCAAATGCCCACCATAAGTCAACGCTGGCACCTGTGGCAGGGTGTCCAGACAGACTTCGTGCATGCTGGCGGAGTCGAACCAACTCGGAAGGTGTATACCCATGGACCTTCCCGCCGAAAGCAAGACCTGACTGGACAGACGCACGAAAGAAACGATGCTTGATGCTCTTACCCTTGCGCGTCCTGGTGCTCAGCTTGATCGCTCGGAGCTTTCTGATGCGACCTCGTGCCTTGGCCCATCTCTGTCTCCGTGCCACTGACTTAGTTGCTTTCGCCTTCCCCGCCGAGAAGTCGATCCCCAAGTTGACAGCAGAGTGAGCTCCTGTCCCAAACAAGTCCCCCGGCAAACTTTTCCGAGCCACATCCAGCAACTTAGCCGACGAGGCAGTGGAACACACCTTCTGGAGGGCAAGGGAGAGGTCGAGCTTCTCCAGACCCTGGTACATGCGAGTGGCGAGCTCGACCATGTTGGTGACACAATCCTCTATGTGGGTGCTCCACGAGAAAAGCCCCATGTCGTCTACGTGGACCGTCGTGCCGACAGACTCCTGAGCCTGCCAAGCGCCTAGAACCTCAGGATCCTGGACTAAAGGAATGAGGTAGGCCTTCGCCTCAAACGTAGCCGTGGCAGAGCCCGCTATGATGCCTTCCTCTGGCCACATCTTGTCACTCAACACTCCCTCCAGGAAAATGCGCCTGGGCCATCGATAAGATCGAATAGTCTGGGCAAGAATGTACCATGGGAAACCTGCAACACCATACTGCTCAGCTAAACCTTTATGAACAATGTGCTCGTAGAATTGCTTGACATCCCAGAATAGGGCCAAGAAGTGCATGCGAGACGTGGCAGCGTATTCGGCGCGCACAGCCTGCCTCCAGACAGTGTCCTCCACCGACCTCCCTTTGCCCATGCTGAAAGACGGCCCACCACCCATCCGAGCGTCCCAGGTCCGAAGTCGTTGTGCCAAAAAGCGGCCCTTAAGACGGGGGAACGACGGGAAGTGGCCGATAGGTCGACGTCCTGGTCCTTTGGCTTTACGAGCCAAAAGGATAATGACCTCCTGCAGCTGAGAAGGATGCACTCCGAGAGCATCCACGAGAACGAACAGCTTCGCCAAAACCAACCGGGCAGGATGGCATAGCAGAGCATAGTGTCTAGGGTGCACCCTATCTGGTTGACACGTGTTTTTCTTGAAAGCCCTGGAGACCGCTGCAACGACATCTGGATCTTCGGCCTCGGGTATTTCCATCGACGGGAGGTCCACGATCCAGGGCGGCACATCCAATGGGGTAGGGCTGGCTTTCCACGTATGCAGCCAATGCTTATATTGGTCATCAAGGTGACCTGAAAGTAAGGAAGTGTAGCCCTCAGGACCTTCTGTCACCTCAACCTCCAAATGGGGCTTCTCACGGAGATACCTGAAAATGCCTTTGCCGGAGGCTGTAGCAAGAGCCTGGTCGCACCATGCCCTCCATGACTGCCGCTGGAGGGTCTCGGGTTTAGGAAGGGCCGTCGAAGCAAAAAGCTGGACGAAGTCTATGAACTCTTGCGACTGCTTTATCAGAAGGTCCCAGGCGCTCCTATCCAGATAAACTCGACATCTTGTTGCTATCGTTGCGGTTAGGGCGTGCCAGAAACCCATGTGCTGTGGCCAGAAAACCTTAAAGGGGCCGCCATGACGTCCGAGGCGCACCAGAACCCGAAGAAGCCTAGCCAACGCCGTCCGAGAAGTCATGGACGTTCTCGGCGCACGGGAGGCCCTTGACGGTCGGGGCGCGCTGGGTCCTGCAGACAGCTTTCCTGCAAGGCCCTGAACTTCATGGAACCTCGAAACTAACCAATCCAAGGCCCTGTGGGGATCGTGTTTCGTGTTGGAGCGGGTCCGGAGGAGGGAGGAGAGAGAAACCGTCACCACGTAAATCCCTGAGCCTCCTCGAGGGCCCTTGGTAGGGGTGATGGTTTTCTTAAGGATTTCATCCCATGCTTTACCCATCCAGTCCTGGTAGACCTGGTTGAGCAGAGCCTCTCCTGTCTCGCGTAAAGCACCGCCGCCCGTAACAGAGTACAGCTTACCA